GGGCAGGTGCCCTGTTACTGTTTGCAGCGGCAGCTGAAGCACCTGCATTCGTGGTGTGCCCAGGCCATGCGTGCCTCGTTGGTGGGCCGTGAAACTGGTGTGCTCTGGAGGCTCAGGTACGGCCCAGAAGGGCCTTAGCTTCTCAGACCAGGCCATACAAACTGGTGATCTCTCTTTCTAGAAAAGAAAGAAAGGAATGTCTTCTAAGTCAGAGAAAAGGCTGAAAACCGAGGCCAAACCTTCAAGGGTGGCAGAAAAACCTCTGGGACAAGGCAGTAAAGAAGAGGGCATGTTCCAGGTATGAAGGGTGGGGATCTGTTCTGGAACACATCTTTCTTCTCTATACAGGTCTCTCCCTTCTACCTCCTTTACTTGTAGCAGAGCACTTTTGTGGCTGAGTTGGCTTCCTGGGGTGCCTGCTGTTCCTTCACTAGTCCTCTGGCACACTGGGTAATCCAACAGGTGCTTTGGGTTGAAGATCACCAGGTTGTTGCAAGGCTGGTTTTAACTCAGGCTCTGTGTCACCACAGATTGGGACGATGCGTTATGTCAAAGTGTCCTGCTTCAAGGGGAAGGTCCTTGTGGACATCAGGGAGTTCTACACGGACAAGGAGGGCAGCACAAAACCAGGGAGGAAAGGTAAACCATGTTTGGCAGTTGGAGGCTGTGCCAGCGTCTCAGCTCAGCTGCTGGCTCTCGAGCTCTGGCTCAGCCTGTCTCCCTTGGTGGCAGGGAAGACCTGTGCATGCTACAATGAGGATCCGGGGAGCTGAGCAAACTGTGTGGGAGGGTTTAGCACTTTCTCAGTCTGTGTGGCAACAACTGAAGAAAAGCAAGAAGAATGACTGTGACCCTCTGGTGAGATCTAGAGCTTGGCAGGACTGCTCTGAGAAACAGTGCAGGAAGCTGCTGTGCAGGGCAAAAAGGTGGTATATAGTGTGTTTTCCTCTAATCTGTGATTGTGGAGCTGTACTTGGCAGGGAGAGCCACCAAGAAATAAATCTACCCTTCCCTTTCTAGGTGTGGACAGGAAGGGTAAGACCGTTCTGGATCCATATGAAGACACTTCAGTGTTTCTGTGCTAGGTGTTCCTTATTATTTTGGGAAAGAGACGGTGTGTTACAGTGGCACAATTTGGGTGGCCCGTCACAGTGGCAGTACCTGAGTAGATGATGCAAGCAAAGGCAGCTGGAGGAAGGAAGACACATTTTTCTCCAGAGCACTTCAAATTCCAAGTCAATGCTCAGCTTAGGCTTTTTACTGTGGAACTTCAACAGTGACTTGCCAGCTTACCTCATAATTCACAGGCCCTGGACTCTTCACTTGCACAGTGTGTTATGCCCAGCAAAGATTCAGTTAATATGGGGTTTCTTGAGTAACCTTTTGGTCCTTGCTACGAATTTTTGTGTCAGGGCAGACAAATTTGCTTCAGCTTGGTTTGCTTCATAACCACAAAGCATGTTTTTTCTTCCAGAAATTAATTTCCTTCAGAGAAGTTACAAGTACAAATTACTTGCTTAGAGGCAACTATGTACCCTGTAGTGAAAATGGGAAGCAAAGCCCTCAGGGTTTTTTGTGCTTCTGGGGACAGAGAGGGAAAGGAGCATTGTGGACTCCTTCCAGGCTGAAAAAAGCATACCCACAGTGTAAGACAGAAGGTCTGTCAGTTAAAACACAGTTAATTGATACTTTTTTTTTTTTCTTTAAATACTGCCTTGGATGTTTTCTCTGGAGTTCTTGGCCTGTGATCTTTATCTAGAGATTTTAATGAAGCTTGGGCCCAAGTTTTTTTAATGTGATTCTTAAAGCCAAAAGGAACAAGTTGACAAAATCACAATGCCATGCAACAATTCCACTACCATGTTTGTTTTGTAAGGAAGAGAGACAGGATGTTAAGACCTTATCTCTGCTGCATCTAAAAAGAAGCCAGTTCTTTTATAGTGTCTAAGCCACACTAGTGATTTTTTTTTGTTAGCAGTAGGTTGTTGTTGGTTTTGTTTTGTTTTTCTTGGGTTTTTTAATAGAGCGAGAGTTGGCATTATTTCATGTGGGCAGTTGAAAGGATGGTGTGTTCACTGCTGTGTGAAGTAAGGTTCTCTTAAAACTTCTTCCCAGCTCATGTGGGTGGGAGCAGTCTATAAGGGGCTGTGGGACTCTTGAAAGGCAACTGGAACTTTTATTTTCATGTGGTGCTTCTGTGAAAGCTTTGAGTACTTCTTAATATGGATGCTGAAGAGCTGGCATAACTGCCAATGCTTCAAAGGCTGCTTCTGTTTTTGGTCTGTGCCTCTGCCTCAGATTCCAACTTTCCCTTCTGTAGCTAGTCTGAAGGAACTAGTCTGGTGTGTTACTTGATGCTTACCCCTTGTCTCCATTGAAACCCCTCCTTCTGATGTTTCTAGGGATTTCGCTCTCTGCAGACCAGTGGAACCGGCTGAAGGCAATAATTCCTGAGATCGATGCTGCAGTCAAGAAATTTTAAGATGAAGAATCTTGGACACCTTCAATCTGTTTCCTTTCCCTGAAGTACACTGACAACTATAAAGCCAAGTGAGAATCCTTGGAGCCTTCCACTCACCTTGCTGGGGTTTCCTCGCTGAGATGGTCATGCTGAAAAGACCAGAGACTCTTCTGTTTTCAAGAAGTAGCTTGTAAGGAGCACCTGAGACTACAGTCAGTGCTGTGAAGTGAGACTTCGGTACCTCTGGTCTCAAGCAGACTTGAGGTCTGTGCTGGTGAGGGACATGACACTGGCTTTCCAGGGTTGATGGCTTCAGTCTACCTTGTGGAGTGCTTTAACTGCTCTACATCTGCTGCTGCCTTCCACTTGGTTTACTGTTTAATAAGATGTTTTTTTTACCTCATGTTGGTATCCTCTGTGTTTCCTCCACAGGTCATCCTGGCTATTTCAAGTACTTTCTGTGTTGGTAAGGGTTGTTTGGTGTTTTTTGGGGTTGTTTTTGGTTTTTTTGAGTGAAGAAAAGGATTATTATACATGAGCAACTGGTTTGTCTGTAGAGGGTGAATATGCACAATAAATGTGTTTGCATTATAAAAAGGAGAGGCATAGTGTTTCACAGGCTGGCACCTCAACTCTTTGTTTCAGGTACCCTTCTTTGTAGGTTGCTGTTGGATTTCCCTTTCATAAAGAGAGTGCTCTGTAGTGTTTAGTCTCATGATATATTCCAAATAATCTTGGTATACAGAAGCAGTCAGATCCAGGTCATGGAAGGACAAGCTACAATGTGAATTACTAAAAGGAACTGGTAATTAGGAAGCCTATTAAATAGAGGGGAAATTAAAGGCCTAAGGAGGAAAAAGAATATTCCTTTCCCTGTGGCAGAGAAAAATGACAAGCTGTGGAAAGAGTGGAGAGAGGAT